AGTCTCTCAGGTAGAATCCAATTTCTTCATAACTGTAACTCCACCTTTTTCCTTCTCCTTTGATAATAATGTGACCCACCCTCACATTCAGTCAATCACCAAATCCTGTCAAATTTATCTAAGTATCTCTCAGCCAATGAAAACACTGTCCAATGGTCCAATCTACAACCCATCATGGGGATGGGGCAGGCCTGGTAGCATTTTATTCCATTGTGCATGGGTTTGCCATGAGTCAGAACCAACTCAACAGTAACACCAACAAGAATTATCTCTCAAATCCATTCATTATTCCATCCATAAGTGTCCTATCATCTTAGTCCAAACCATCATCTCTGGCCTGAACTTGCACAATAACCTTTTGACTCATCTGGTCTACTCTTACTTCCTCTAATCTGTTCTCTAGACTGTATCACAGTGACTTTTTAAAAAATGTGTAAGTCTTATCATGTTACTCCCTGTCTGTTATAATAAGAAATGAGAAGTATACTTAGTGAGCTAATGTTGTTGTTGTTATGTGCCGTCAAGTCGGACCTGACTCATAACGACCCCTCCTTGGGTTTCCAAGGCAGTATCACTACGGAAATAGAATGCCCAACCTTCCTTCCAAGGAGTGGCTGGCGAGTTTGAACCGCCAGCCTCCTGGTTAGCAGTTAAGTGCTTTAGGCACTATGCTACCAGAGCTCCCATGTCTTACTATGTTGTTGTTGTTATGTGCCATCCATTCGGACCCGACTCATAGCGACCCCTCCTTGGGTTACCGAGGCAGTATCACTATGGAAGTAGATTGCTCCATCTTCCTTCCGAGGAGTTGCTGGTGGGTTTGAACCACTAGCCCTCTGGTTAGCAGTCCAGTGCCTTAGGCACTATGCTACCAGAGCTAAGAAGGGCTAAAAATTAACCAAAAATAAATAGTAGAACTAAAGGAGCAACAGTGCATACTCACCTCCTGTCCTGTGGCCACATCCATTGCAGTGTACACTGTGGTTTTATTTGTCACTTCCTCTTCTGGAATTCTGATTAAGTAAGTTGTTATTCTTGATGGTATCTCACATGAATCTTAGACTTTCTTCATTGTGTTTTGATCTTTTTTCTGAATGATCCCTTAACAAGACAGTACTGAGATACTTGTTTTCAGTCTGACTAATTCTGTCTTCCATTGATTTGATTTTACTCCTTTGCCCATTCAATGTGTTATAATATTCTGAAATATTAGTCTTCATCTTCTGGATTTCTTTTTGTAGATTTTATACCATTTGTAATTCTTCATGTATTTTGTCATTTTTTTCCTGTATTGTTTTCCTAAATTGGTCTAGACTTTTGCCTATGTTTTCCTTAATTTTGTCAGTGTTTTCCTTGATGTGTCTCTCAGTCTGTTGAAGGTACCTTAATATAATTCTTTTGAATTCCTTATCAGAAAGTTCCAGTGCTGCTTCTTTCTCAGGGATGTGTTCTAGATGTGTATCTTGGTCCCTTGTTTCTATTGCTTTATCTTGCTTCTTTGTATGGATTATGGTGATCTGTTGTCTTTGAGACATTGTTGACGTTGTTATATTTATATTTAATTGGTGACTGTTGGTGTGATTTTCCCAAGATTTTTTTTTTTCTTTGTTTTGTTTTGATATATCTGAGTAAGCTGGGTACTGTCCTCCTCTATTTGCTAGTTGGCATCACTTAGGCAATCACCACCTGTCTTCTGATGGATGTGATAGAGAATGAGAGTGTGTGCACAGATCTCAGTTAGCTGTTTGTGAAGAGCAGTTAAGGGTATGTTGGGGTGGTATTAGCTGTTGTCTTTCGTTGGCCGGTTGGTGCAGAAGCAAGTGATAGCCCTCACTCAGTAGGTGGGGCTGCAGAAGGTGCAGGTATGATTGGATCATGTGGTACAGTTACTGTCTCCCACTCAATTAGACAAAAAAACAATTAAACACCAAAATAATAATAATAATAAGATGACAAAAAACACAAACTGCATAAACAAACAGGAACAATCACCAAAAACAAAAAGGCAAGGCAATAAGTGAAAGAAAGTATTTAAAGAAGTATTTAAAAAGACAAAATAAATATAAATAGAAAAAGAAAATTAAAAAGCATCACACTATCTGGGGAGGGAGGAATAAGAGAAAAGAGCAAGAGTTAAAGAATAATAAAGAAAAAATGAGAAAACTACAGAAAGAAAAACAAGCAATGGGAAGAACCAAAAGAAAGAAAAAAAGATGGGAACCCATTAAATAGAAGAGAAAAAAAAAAAACAAAAAACTGGAACCCAGGGAGGGAAAAGAAAGAATAAAAATTAAAAGGAAGAAATAAAGAATAATTTAAAAACAAACTAACAAAAAGAAGTCTGGGGAGGTGAGGCAGGGCACCTAGGTTCTGTCAGGGCACACAGACTGGAATGAAATTCCTGCAAGTCCAGAAGGTGGGTGGAGGTGGGGGATAGCCACACTTCCATTCACCAAGAGGGTATGGGGTATAAGTTAGCAAGGGTAATATCCTACCTTTCTAGTTGTCATCCTTCAGTGTGGTTGTCTATTCTATCCTTGACAAGCAGAGCCTATTCTTAGGTTGGTGGTATTGGATTGCTGCTACTTGTAAATATCCAAAATGGTCACACCACTTGCAAATATTTAAAATGGCCGC